GTGCGAGGGAGGTATCTAACCCCTCGCCATCTTCAATTCTCTCGCTTTCGCGCGCGACGAGTTCCTCCCCCTTCCGGGCGTGTCGCCTTCAAGGAAATACGATATCGTCGTCGCTTAGACGAAAACCGATCCTTTCCAGATGGGTTTCTCATATCTGAGTAGTCGGTGGCTTCTCAGAATCCGTTCCCGCATTGCATTAGTTGTAAAAATATTTCATATTGCGAGGTGCTATGGAACAATAAAAGAGTCGTTACAACGCGGTCTATTCGCGGTGTTTCTCCTCCCGTTTTCTCACTTTCGCAGAAAACATCATCAGGATTAATGAGGCGCCACATCGTGCCCGATAAAAGCGCAAACGGAGAAGCTCCGTTTCTATATTATTGTCATATTGTTGCTCATAACGATATCTCGTTGTTAATAATAGACGACCGATGCCCGCCTCATAACACGCTTATTTTCCACTGCGATTACTTATCAAATTGTTTCTCTTTTGGCGCCGGCCAGGAAACTTGCAATTTTCATCCCTCTCTCGATATAATAATTGGAGGGCGAGACGCGCCAATTAACTGTGTGTCATGCTCCTCCAATTAATTAAAGTTTTTTCTCTGAAACGTTTAATTAATTGGCGCTTACGTGTCGCGACTGGATATATTTCGTTTTCCGGTAACGTAAACACTCTCTGCCTTTCCTCACATTCGTTTCACGGCTTGTAAACAAACATATAAGCTTACATTGCAAATTGTGGGAGTTTCAGCAAAAACAGTCCGTGTTGAAATTTGATGATTCGTCTTGACTCATCGAATAAATTTAGGTAAATTTTGTTTATTTGGTGTTGCTAATCACACATTATCGCATATATCCCGATTTCTTTTTACAAAATTTCACAAAATTATGATAATATGAATCAATGAATAAAAATATAAAATGAATTTACACTTAAAAATTCTATAAGATATGTCACTGAAATTTCTTCGTCATTTTCAATGAATTAAACAGGATTTTATAATTCGTTTTTCTTTTCCTCATCGTCTGTATCACTACCCCTTCTGACTCCCGATTTACACATATCGATAATTTGCCTTTAAAAATACTCCGGGTGCGAAGTGCAATCCGGGTTTCTCGGCCTCAGCCGGCGCCATTGCTCTGCGGGACAGTTTAAAATAAAGGAAAAAAAAAAAAACGATATGATTGAAATAATATCTATTTTTGCGCAGTTAACTAATATTAGACGGTAATAATGGCATCTTTTAGCTAACGGAATCCCGAAGAGGTAGATAAATCGCGCAATGCGATATTCGTTGCGATGCGGCAAAGGTTGCGATAAAAAACGGAGTCACGAAGTTTGTGAGTGTGAGTAATGCGATAATTGACGTTACCGGTCAGGATTTTGTAATCGTAAAGTTATTTTTAGGATCATCACTCGAGCGAAAATGCCGAATGTCATAAATATTATACTTTTCGTGTAATTTCGTGAAACTGCTTATCTGCATTCTCGGCTTGTTTTTCGCGAAAGGTGTAAAAATGTTAATGTTTCATCAGTTCGAAAAATAACATTGAGATACTCGTGGAGCTTGGAGGTAAAATAAATTTATCGTAAAACTAGACATTCGAGAGATCTCTCGGTAATGTACAATATTTCAATTATTATCCGTCATCTGCTATCGTTTAATCTCTCTTATTCTTATACATTCCTATTTTTTTTTTTTTGGATACGAAGAATTAATTGATCGATAATCATTAATTGTGCGTGAAAGAGAAAAAAAAAAATCTAGCCCGAGCCCTAACTTAATAATAATCGTCGTCGTTATAAATTTACATTTCTCGGAAACGCACAATTCTACTTTTCCGCGTCGTTAACCGCGCGCGCAAATCGGCTCGTCTCGTTAAGGCCTCTCCCCCGTTCGGTCCTCGCGCGCGTTGGCCGGGAAACAGGCTGACGACAGGCTAACGATCCACGTGTAACTCTCCACTTGAGAGAGGCCAGTTTTTTTTCCAGTCCAGTCTTTTCTAAAGTGGACTCGCGCGGCTCGCACCTCTCCTTGTGCGAGCCTCCATGTGCAGGCGGTTCACTTAGGCTCAATAGACCTAAGTAAGTGCCCGCTATTACAACGGCGCGCATTAGAAATCACGTGCGCGCGTGTACCCGCGGTTATAAGCGAGTGCATCGCCACGTAGTAATTTGCAGCAGCAGCACGTGGCGGGTGTCCTTGGCTGCCCGCATGCGTCGACATCCTCCTGCATCCGCGTGTCACGCGAGAACCCGCGGGAACGTGAGAATTCTTCCTCGCGATCGCGACACTCGGCGCGACACGTCGCGTGCGAGGGAAGAGAGAGATGAGAAGCGTTTCATCGATTATCGTACATATATACGTGACACAAAGGTGGTAAAACTATCGCGATCGGCTGCTCGCTTGCAATTGTGTTTTATAAATAGACCTCGGACTCGCTTACCGATCTCCTCTATCCGAAAGTCGTCATATTCCAGCGATATCGACACTCTATCATCGAGTATCAATGCAACGAGGAGGAGTCATTGACTCGATAGTCGCGAGTCGAAGTTAATCCACTAAAAATAGTCCGTCTGTCGTCGTCGATAATGGCTTTGATCGTTCTCTCCCGCGAGTTTCTCTCGGGGGGAAAAATAATGTCGTCCGAAGAATTTGTTGAATAAGAGATGGTCCCGATCGATAGAATATCTCGCGCTGACGTAGCGTCTTACCTAATTTCTATATTTAATATTTAGCGGAATAAACTGTATATATTTGTGTATATGTTGCTGTCGTTCGCAACGCGATATGTGTATATGTGTATATATACACGCTGCCGATCTTTTTACGCGGATTCCGCAAAAAAGTTGCGTTTTAAAACAAGATCCGTTAAGGCGTTAAGGTGTTGTTTACAGCTGGGATCTGCGAATAGAAGGGAGATATATCTCGGGCGATGGATACGTATCTATATTCGTCGAAAGATATCGAAATTATTAGATCGATGGAAAGAAACGAGGATAGCAGGCCCGACCTCTCTATCTGCGGAAAAATGTGACCGATATATCGGGCTGAGACAAAACAGGCGCGGCGATCAATTAAAGTCGCCGATAATGGACCACACTTTGTCTTCGTCGATCCGAATCGCAGATCACTTGACGTGATCTCTCTCGAGTTCGCTTTTGCGAAACGGATTCGATAAGTGGCCGATCATCGATCATCGGCGGCTCCCCCGTCGGTATTCGATAAGTCATTCAGAGATAATAGAACGGTTGTCTTCATTGATGCCGGACCGTAACCGATAGCTTCACTTCACTTTTGCTCAAAACGGCGTCTTGCGCCGCGCACGTGATCGATAGCGGCTAAATGACATTTAATAGTACGTTCTTGCAATTGTTCGCGAAACGCGATCTATTTTCGTGTCACTCGATCCTGAAATGCAACTCGGCGCAGATCAATAGCGATTTTATTTACTCTTCTTGCGCCGCGAGCAGAAGCGCAGTCGTTGCATTTCCGTGTTGCATAATAAGAAGTAGATTACTAATAGTAAATAAAGCTATATATAAATATGTATATATATACGCCAAACAAAATATTCATTTATACGTTTGTACTTCTTATTACGCAAATGCACAATTATCTATTTCGAGTAACGCAAGCGCATCAAGAAATTGAAAAAAACAACGTGAACGTTCATTCTTCTAAATTTAAATAGTTTAATATAAAACTCGGATTTTTTACTCGTTCTGGTTCCTTGAATTCGGATATATCGAACGGGGTTATGGAGCGCGAGAGAGACGTACGGTAGCGTAATGTCGTACCCAATAGCCGTCTATTTGACGCGATGAGGCCGAGACACTTCACTAGCGGGGAGCGTCCGAAGAGACAACGTATCCTCGTAAAAAAAAAAAAAAAAAAACGAACATTGTTCGGGAGTGGAGAGACGGGGGATGTGAAGTGCCGTGTGCGCGCGCGCGCGCGCGCGCGCGACAAATGAATAGCGGCGGAAATAGAAAACGAGTCTGTTTCGCGAGCCAGACAGGGGGAAGTTGGGCCTGACT